AGATCGAAATTGGACGGGCCGCCATTTCCAAACCGGGCCTCATCTGCGGAGCATTTGAAGAACTTTTAGTCACCACGTCATGTAGTTTGTGCCAGCCAGATTTCAGGTGTGTACGACAAACTCCCTAGGAGGAGTTCGATTTAGAAAATGGCCAAAAATGGCCATTTTTCAGCAAAAATGGCCCGACATGGTCGCGGTTTTTCCAACATGGCGGATTTTCTGTTGGATTTACAGAAACATGCTTATGGACTTTTTTGTGCGTCACAAGTTGTTACACGTGTGGCGAATGTCGTAGTTGTAAATCAAACATCGCCCCAATGGGAATCTGTTGAAATATTGTAGGGGGCGCCGTTGAGCCGTGTCGCATTTTACAAGTTGGCCCAGCCTGACTTTTTTATTCGTCCTGACCTGCTCTATATGCCTACAAAATTGCGTAAGTCTAGGCCAAATGTGCTTTTGACAATTTAGAAGGTGGCGCTGTGGAAAAATTTTTCTATTGAGGTGTGTATTGTTCTTCCAAATTCTAAAATTTTTCACCGGGTCTGATGTGCATGGCAATTTTGATGAGTTTTCGAGTATGTTTAGGGCCTCAAAAACGCGTGTCTTTGGCACGAATAATAATAATAATCCGAGCAGTTCCAATAGGGTCTTCGCACCCTTTTGGGTGCTCGGACCCTAATAATCCAAGCAGTTCCAATAGGGTCTTCGCACCCTTTTGGGTGCTCGGACCCTAATAATAATAATCACAACGGTTACAATAGGGTCCTTGCACTGGAGTGCTTGGACCCTAATAAACATATCCCCAAATGAGTGAAACTGTAGGCTAAACTAATCAGTGATTAAAATAGTGCGATGGACAGATTGATGAATTAGCCAACTGTTGTCCCCTAACCGCAGAGAATAGTTGAATGACATTTGGCAGCAGGGCTAAAATGATCAGAATCAGAATCAGAAATACTTTATTACTCCCTTTGGGGAAATTGCTTTTAGTTGCAAATGCTCCCAATCAAAGATGATGACAAGTGATTGGGTGATGATTGTTTTCAGTGATTTGTTAAGTAAAGAAGCCGAGCGTTATCTGTATCTATTATATGTTGCTTTCCTTCATCATATATGCCTGTAAATTGAGCAGTTCTGGGCTGTTGGCTGAACAAAACAAGCTAGTTGTTGACATTGTAGTAGTTGCTTTGTACTCCAAGAAGTTCTAACACAACATTCCACAGATTAACTGATTATTTGAGAAACTAATCTGTAGATTAATGGATATTTGAACAATGTGCTTCCAACAGATGTGTCAAAGTGATGCAACAACAATTGTTTGTTGCATCCTCTTTTGGTAGAAAATGACGTTAAAAGACACAGCAAAATGATTTTTACAATATATTTAATTCGATTTTTTTCTTACAAAACAATTCCCTCATAAACCAGAACACACAAAATGCATAAAGAAAACTGTACAGTCAGTTTTGTCATGTCTGAACGTGTTCTAAACATGAACAATGTTATCTACAACAGTGGTTCCTATCAATGTCTATCACACCAAGCGGTTCAGCTCTGCAGCCCCTTGCTTCAGGGTTAAAGGAGAGGTACGGAAATAGTCATGTGACACTGAAGGTAGATCCAAACAAACAACGTGAGCTAGCCAATAATGTAGTTATATCAGCAAGCACAGGTGCAGTCTCTTTGTTCTTGCTCTCCTTGGCTCTAGTAGCGATGTCTTACTGCTGAATCGACCTTAAGAGAGAAGCTGACAGATGTGACGATGAGAGGGCAGAAAAGTGACTTTTTCACAAGCAACGGTAAACTGTAAGTGACTGTGAAGTATCACTGAGAGGTCAATGGTAATCATGTTGAAGATCTATTTTCATTACATGCATGTCTCTGAGCTGTCGAATACTGTAGGTTACTCATTTAGAGCCATCAGGGAAGCGACTTTGGATGGGATAGTGACTTTAGGAAGCTTCAGAGCCTGAATCTTTTTTTTTTTTTTTCTCCATTAAGACTAGAAAGAAAACTAGATTACCAATTTAACAAATTTCCATTCACATAGCTTAAATGTGTCTCAGATATATATTTCTCTCCTCAGTGCAACAGTGGTCTAGGAAACATTAGAGTCTTTGCCTTCTAAAAGACCATCATGCCAGAAAGGTTTTCATGGCAGATTAGCAGCAAATACTGAAGTCACAAACAAGAACGACAAATCTGCTTCACTCTTGTGTTTACTTTTTCTTTTCTTGCACAGCTTGGTTTCTACCCTACACATTGCATCGCATTGGGGAGTTACAGGCACAACTACGTATTAGGAGAAGATGATTAATATTTAATTTAGGTTGCTGTTTGTGGGGAGGGGAAACACACACAAGCAGATACAGTATACTCCATTCACAAGACTCCAGTTGGATTTACAGTGGTTCACTTCTCCTAGAGGACTCACGCGAAAACGCGTTAAAGCTGGACTTTGACATCGTGGTCTGTGGAGATAAATATGACTTTAATCTCACTTCTTTCAAACATGTTTGACCCACCAAAAAAAGGTCAGCAACTGCAAAATCCCAAAGGCTGTGAGTATTTGTGCTGTGATGCCGAAATATACCCCAGATTTTATTTCATTTCGAAGTCAAGTTCACACTGGGCCTCATGCAAGAACATTTTCTGTTTAGTCAGATTCACCAAACCCTCTTAAGTACACAAATGTGCCGAGACAAAGAACTGAACATGCTGAAGGCTGCTGCACTAACATGTGCCTCAAATCGAACAGAACCTCCCATGGATCTGGGAGTCATGATGACCTGCTGAATAAATCTGAATTTTAAGCATTAAGGTCGTCTTGGATACATATTTAAGTCACATTCAGTTTCAAATTTAAACTCCAAATTCATTCAGGTTAAGGCATTGTGAATCCAGGGTGAATTTAAGGGTTTCTTTTCTCTTTACTATAGTCAAACACTATGTAAATGACTTGCACAACATAAGGGGACCAATCTGGAATTTCACTGGTACAAAAAGGAGCTACTTTAAAAAATAAAAAAAATCACTTTGAATGCTCTACATAAATGCAAATCTGTTTGTCTGAGTGGTTCTTGCTTGAGGCCCACTGTGGTATTATCAAATATGTCTTCCTATGCGTTTGGGTTCTCACTTACTGGCAAGAAAGGCTTAATTAAAAATAGTCTTAAGCTAGCTGACTATTTGTATGAACTAGCAAGTTTGAGAAGTACAATTTAAGAGGTTTCTAGTTCTCTGAACATACAATTACTTAACCCTTGAACAGATAAAGTCAGAACCCTTTTTAAAACAAGAATTGGCACACAGAGAATACTTGCAGATCCTGATTTAAAAAGAAAAAGGAAAAATTACTCTCACGCTGGCACCCATTTTAGAGCAATATGTGAGAGCCATCAGGAGCATTCATATGTAGACCGGCACTACTGTCAATAGGCAGAAATGCCAAAGAGACATTATGGTTCCAGTAATTTCTCATAATGTTACTACATCTGCAAAAAGCTGCAGTTCTGTCTTGCTGCTAATGGATCATCATAATGATGATTAGTGCAAGTGAAAAAACACAGTTACACAAAAGATGACGCAGTACCTCCACAGACGAAAAATATCTATATATGAAGAGTTGCTGGTGTTTACTCGGTTACTGCCTCGAGACAGTAATTTCCGTTTTTTGTTTCAAAAGTACAGATGCAATTTCTGAGTAATAATAATAAATACACCTGTACATGTACAGCCATTTATGTAATTTGACAATTTCAGTAATTATTCCTGAAAACAGGAAAATGTTTAATCCAGTACATATTGCTAATATTTGTAAAAATGCACCTTTACTTTTGAAACAGGTTGCCAGGCTTTGAGATATAAAATATCTTTCCCTGTGCATATGTAGCTGCTATCCAGATAGTTTTTGATGTTGACTAGACAGTAACTAATAAAAGTTTTACTTGTTAATAAATACCACATGAGTAGTTGTCAGTCTACCAGACTCAGAGTTTGATCTTGATGCACAGCTCTCTGAGAGGATGTACAAATGCTCACAGCCAGTTAGATAGCAGAGTTGATGCTACTGTGGCTCGGCCTCAGCATATGGGTCAGTGTAAACCGGAGTCATTACCCTGAGGGAATCTGCTAAGTGGTGTAAGTGGCATTTTCAGGCTTCACAGCACAGAGCTGTGCAGGTTCAGAATAAATGTGAGAGACAACAGGGGACAGATTATACCACTGCAAGAGAACAGAAGATGTACTTCTCATTTCTGGTTAGGCTTCCTCTGCGACCGAAATATCCATCGTCGACGGCTAATGGACGAATTGGGCTCTTTGGATAGACAATGTAAATAGAGGGTATTACACATGTGCATAAAGCCAACTTCTGCCGGTATGAGGAGAATGAAAGCTTTCAGAGGGAGAGTACAGTACAATACCATGACGAAGGCGAGTAAACAGATGGTGTTGGTAGCTTTTAAAAGGACTCAGAACACGCATACACTAAAGGCAGACAGGACAGACTGACAGTTTGTGGTGATTATATGCAGCACTGGTGAAAACGACAAACATTGTTGAGATAAACAAAAATCGGAAAGCTTTTTAGTCTAAAAAAAGTGAGCATTGTGCATAGTTCATAGTTCGTTAATAACCCCTCTTCAGGTACCTATTTGCTGTGATAACATGGAAGGAAGTGCAATAATGTACAATTCTGTATAGTTAAGTGCACATAGATCACTGTTGCACTGAACGGCATTGACACTTTCTCCCAATAGAAATATCACAACAGATTTTCTTAATATTTTCTCAATTACTCTATTTTTAAGTGTACTTTTGTTACAACAAACCCAGACATGTTTCCCTCTTGCTCAGTTCTAGGGTTGAGTCCACAACTTATGTTCACATAAATCTTAATAATAGGTAATTTGGCCTGATCTTTCCTTCTCCTTTGTCCCCCCACTTATGTCTCGCTCTTCTTCTACATCTCCTGGTTTTTGTTTTTTTTTCTTTTTTACTCATACCTCCCCCACCCAAACAATTGTGTTCCCTCTCTTGATGTCTGACACCTCGCAGTGCGGCGTTCTCTGTTTGCCATTCAGGACAAAGAGCGACTCGACTGACGGTGTCACCAGGTACTGTCCGAACAACCCGCTGGAGACCACCACTCTGTTGGGGCCTCCCCACGGCCAGGCTTGGGGGCCCAGGGGCTCCTTAAGGCTGCGGAGAACCTCACTGCGGCCCGAGGACAGATCGGCAAACAGCAGGTCCGTGCCTGAGCCCGAGGTGGCCACGACCACATGCTGGTTGGACTCTGTGAAGGAGGGCTGGAAAACCAGATCAGAGACAGCTACAGGCTGGTCTATTTCCTGGTTCAGACCCAGCTCCCCTTGGAACGACACTGTCTGTACTATCAGCTTTGAACTCTGCAGGTCAGGTGTCAGAATGTAGCGGCCATCCGGTGACACGAAAGCCTGGCCCGTGACATTCAGGTTCGGACCAATCACAGCATCTGTCACGCTGTCGATGATTAGCTGTGGTGGGGCTTGCAGAAAGCTCTTGCTCTGGCACTGGACGAAATAGAAGCCACTCAGGTGTGTGTAAGCCATGCTGACTGGTATGCAGCTGTAGTTCTTCAGGCTGATGGTCTTGACACGGTGGAAGGTCTCCAGATCAATCTTGTGTACCGCAGGTTCATTTTTGAGGAAGACAAAGGCAAACCTAAATCGACAAAGTTCAAAGCAAAGGTTAATAGCCTTTCTAGATTTTTGGGGCAGTGATTAATACACATCGAGATTCTCATTAGAATTCTCATTTGCTCTTTTCTCCTTTGCATCAGAAGGACAGCTGTGATGAGCGAGCCATAGGGTCGTCTATGTTTTAAGGTCAGAGGTGGCTGAATGTGTGCTGTCTTACCTCACGTGAGTGATGATGAGGTTAGTTGGAGGAATGAAGAAGTCGTTCACCCTCTGGAAAGTCGTGCGGATGGCATGATGTGCTTCGCCCACGCTGGCTTGAGGAATTACCTACACACAGTGTCAGGAAAGATCCATGTACATATTAAACAGTAAAACAAAGATAGAACAGTTTATTATGGACAAAGGTTTTCATTATAACTCTCAAATATTAAAGATGAATTGGCTCTAAATACAGAAGCTGTTTGATACTTTCATACATATGAATGTAAAAATAGAATTTTTGGAGTAGAAGCAGTGCTTAACTATAAACTTCACAGTTACAATAATCCCTGCTAGACTGTTTTGCCTGGAACCACACAAAGGTAATTAGAGTTTAGATGATGTGTTTGTATTAGTTTCTTTGCTGCCCGAACTTAATGTTGTAGGAATGTATTCTGCCTTCATGTACAATTGAAGCTGTTTCTCACTGAGGTAGGAGCACCTCCATCAGAGGTTGCTTCTGGTCCTTCTGGTGCTTCTACTACAGACCGACTGATAATAGATTTATGAGGCTTTTGTATCAGTATATGGTTTTAATTATGCTTATATGTAACATTTTTATAGGGATCCCTTAGATATGATTTGTAAAGGACACTAGAAAAAAACCAACAACAAAAAAAACAACAACTTGCAAGTGACTTCTGATAGACAAATTGTGTGAATAACCTTTGTTTTGTATTGGCTGCTATTTGGACAGCTTCTGATTTAACAATGATATACAATATGGCCGAGCTGATGCCCTTTTGCTGTTAAAGAGAATGTAGTGCCTTTATTTATGGAATCAAGACATTATAAATTGGATGAATAATACGGGTACAGCCTGTGTTAAATGTTTTGATCCAGAGATGGAGATGTTATATGTTTTCAAGAACCAAAAAAACTGTGCAGTTGTCTTCTAGCACTTGGGATTACCATGACCTGGATGACTGAGTATCAACATAGACATACTGCCTTGTACTTCGGAGCGAAAACCGTTCGGATGGTGCCGGAGTACAAAATGAAATAGAGGGAACCACCTCCATTCAACCTGAGTGCAAAATACACAGACTTGTCCCCAACAGCTTATCCCTCGGCTCTCCTGTAAAGCAGCCATAGAGCAAAACAAATACTACTGAAGGCACTGAACCAGCTACTGAGCGAGAGATTAAGATGGTCCATTTTACTATTGATGCATTTAGAGAAGGATTGGCCAAACTGTCAAGAAACTGACAGTACTTCTACACAGTACAGTCATAAAGAAAGTTTCTAAGTTTGTTGAAAAGGCACAGTTATCACATCAAAAAAGGCCAAGAAAGAGCAAACACAAAAATTCCAACCATTTCAAACAATTGATGACACTACATTAGTAGACATTCAGGATAAGTGGGTTAAAAAATAAAGAAATACATCTCATTGGGTAGGGACCTCCCACAACTGGAGAAGGACTTCCCTTTGCCATAACTCAACAACAGGTACAACTAGTGGACCTCATTACTATCACAGAATATAAAGAACAACAACTAGACATAATGCAAAAGATCTCAGAATGAAGATTTCAATGACGTTCTCTCTCACAAAAATAACTACTTCCAACCTCACAACCCACTAAAGGAAGACAGTAACATCTCTTAACAGTGGACCATCACCATCTTGCTGTTAGATAAGAGATTTAAATTGATCCTTAACACTGCCGATTACCGTGGCAAAATAACGATACTCCTCAGTGACAACATTGCCTTCTTAGGGTGGATCCCATAAGCAGTTACAACAAGAAGATCAGAGACTGCCTGCAAAAACTGAAGAAAGGAAAAAGCCACTGACTGTCCATCATACTACAGACTTTACCCTGGAGAAGCCAAAAGACACATGCATGGACTTCCAGTGATGCACAAAGACAGAGTTCTACTCAGACCCGTGAGCAGCAGCATAAACATAGCAACATAAGACATTTGAAAACACATTGCTACCATACTGGGACTTCTAGTTGGAAACACTTCATATTACAACCAAAATTCCACACATTTTGTCAGTAAAATCCAGAAAACCATATCCCAGATGGGACCAGAGTATCATCCAATGTTCCCTCACTTTTCACATGTATACCTACAATGAAGACAGTGGAGATCTTTAGAAATGAACTACTTCAACAAGTCTCTGTAAAAAAAAAAAGAAAAAGAAAAAAAAAGATAAGATATGTGCCCTGATGGACCTCTGCCTGACTATACTTATTTCAAGTATAGTGAGGGTTTCTCCAGGCAAAAGCATGGCTGCTCAATTGGCTCTCCAGTGTCAGCCATTGTGGTCAATCTCTACATGGATGCTGTGGAAAGAAGGCCACTGAGCTCTCTAGAGGGGAACACCATTCAGACAGTTGATCTGAAGTACAAGTAAGGATGGTTGGGGAGAAAAACAAACAAACAAAAACAAAACAAAAAAAACTCCTTCTTTTGGACTGTGAGTTGGACCTTTAGGAAGATGGATGCTTCAACAATGAAGTTTCTTGGACACCCCCACACACACACATCAGTACCTACTGTTGGACTCCCACCACCTACAGAAGCTGAAAGTCACCAGAACCATACACCACCTGACTAAGAATGTCCCTCGCAAGGAGGGGAGAAAAGAAAATGAGCACACACAGATTAAGAAAGCAGTCAAAGCCTGTGGCTATTCCAACAGGGTCTTTATTAAGTCAGCAAAAGGGATCTGACCAAAAAAACACCACAACAACAAGCAGACCACAAAAACAAGAACAGACGTAACAACACTGTCATCCCGTATGTGACCGGAGGCTAAGACGACCCAGAAAGAGACTGGTTCACCCTCAGGACAAACCACCCAAACACAAGCTAAACAATGTTATATATGTAGTTCAATGCACTCAGAGGTGCACAGACATCTATATATAATAAAGCCACAAGCACTTGACACAACACAGGAGAGCCAGCTCCTCAGGACAAGACTCAGCAGTCCACCTGCATCTGAAGGATAGAGGACACTCCTTTGAGGACGACAATGTCCACATTCCGGACAAAGAAAACAAGTGGCTTGAGAGAGAAGTGAAGAAAGCCATTTATGTTAAACTGGAACAGCCATCTCTAAACATACACTGTAGTCCTGACATTCCACCTCAAGGCTGTTTCACCACCACCTCAAGTCATGTGAGTTGAGGATGAGAACTTGGAACCTGGAACTCTCCAAATGTCAGAGATGAAGAAACCTCTTGAATAAGAAGTGAAATGTCTCCAAGAACCAAAAAGAAGTCCAGTTGCCTTCTACTGGAGCACTTAGACTGATGACGATGTGGACTGGGCAGAATGGCATTATCTTATACCACATAAACTGTATTGGTGAATATGCCACTAATTAACAAGCGATGAGGTGTCTTGATTTGCAGCTGAGTTTCTTTACGTCAGTGTAATTACAAGTTTATGCTTCAACTGTAGCAAATCACACATCATTTGGTACGTTTGCAACGGTCTACATCAGCATCAGAAATCCAGTGCTGGGGGTGCCCCTGTAGTTCAACTGGTTCAGCGGGCGACCCATGAACAGGGGCTGTTGTCCCTGACGCAGAGGTCGTGAGTCCAGTCCATGACCATTTACTACAGGTTCTTCCCCCACTCTTCTCCACATATTTCCCATCTCTCTCCACTTTCAACTATAATACAGGCTAAAAAAGCCCAAGAAAAAAAAAAAATCTAATGCTGGTTGTTTAGTTTAGTGTCTTGCTCTGAGATGCACAGAATCTATTTAGATAACCAAACATAAGACCTTGTAGCTTCATCACAATGCCCTGCTGCTCCTTCTTTCTGGAGGTGAAATGAAGGCTCATACTATATGTCAGGTGTTAACAGTCGGGGCTTGTTCAGGTGACACCTCCATTCATCCTAAAACAGATAACCATCTACAGCACATGACTTGGGCTGATGAAACCCTACCTACCTCAGTTCTCCGTAAAAGCATCTTATTCAGTGATGGGTGTCTGAAGAGCACACGCCACAATAAAAGCCCCATCCCTCATGTCTTACACCTGGCACTGAATCAGCATGTTTGTAAAGGGCTCCTGGTGCACTGCCTTGTCCATGACACATGCTTCATCATGCATGCCTCCGTGATCAGGTCACAGTCAAGGACGAGGTGAGGCGGTTTATGGGACTGCATTTATTAAAAGCAAATGGGGAACATCTGCTTCGTAAAACCACCTCCAAAGTAAAACCACTTCCTTCTCATGTTGCAACCTCCACTTTATATTTTCAGACAAATTCTGCTTATTAACACGGTTCTAGGTTTAGACACCTAAGCAAATGTTGCTGGAGAGCATATAGAATATTTTTTGAAGGGAAACAGCCAAGTGTAAAATCTATTTTGATGTCTACGCCTACACCACTAAAGCCGAACCTCTACCTGATGCCCAGTGGGGGGCCTGACTCCACATTCCTTCCTCAGAACTATCAAATGCAAGGAAATAAAAATAGCAGTTTAAGTTGCCGAGTTGTTACTTTTGCTACACTGCTGCAATACTCCTCAGAAGTGCTCTCTTTTTTTTCCCTCCACCATCCTGAATATCTCATCCATTTTTAACATAAAGCATCAGCCTGTTTCTCACTGCTAGCAAGACATGAAAAGAATCCTCGTTAACAAAAAGTCATTACAACAGTTGCAGAATACAATGACGGGAGTTAATGAGGTTCAATGTACTATCACTCATGTATTATTAGGCAGCTGCTGTGGTCTTCGGGGCTGCAGGTGCTCTCAACTTAATGCCACAGGCTTCCCTTTGTTATCGCTCATCCTTGGATTTCATATCCACACACTCAGCACTGAGGCCCAATTGAGTTTTTCTCTGCCCCTGCCTTGCTGGCTGACCTAATACCTGAGGGGGATTTGGTTCTGACTGAGTAGCTTTTGCCTTTCAACAACATTCACTCTGGAGAAGCCTTGAGTAGTGTTTATTATGTGTTTTTTTTCTTTTTTTAAATTTCCCATCTAGGCACAGTACGTCTAAATGAAATGGGATTCCTCGAATGCTCCAGTGTATTTGTCATTTAGAAAATTCAATAAATCTTACAAGGCATTTTTGTATTGCC